CCGCCAACATCTGTCGTTTCCTGACTTGTTAATTTTAGCCATTCTGACTGGTGTGAGGTGGTATCTCATTGAGGTTTTGATTTGGATTTCCCTGATGCTGAGCGATATTGAGCACTTTTTCATGTGTCTGTTGGCCATTGGGATGTCTTCTTTGGAAAAATGTCTTTTCATGTCTTCTGCCCATTTCTTGATTGGATTCTTTGTTCTTTGGGTGTTGAGTTTGATGAGTTCTTTATAGATTTTGGATACCAGCCCTTTATCTGATATGTCATTTGCAAATATCTTCTCCCATTCTGTCGGTTGTCTTTTGGTTTTGTTGACTGTTTCCTTTGCTTTGCAAAAGCTTTTTATCTTGATGAAGTCCCAATAGTTCATTTTTGCTCTTGCTTCCCTTGCCTTTGGCCATGTTTCTAGGAAGAAGTTGCTGCGGCTGAGGTCAAAGAGGTTGCTGCCTGCGTTCTCCTTTAGGATTTTGATGGACTCCTGTCTCACATTTAGGTCTTTCATCCATTTTGAGTCTATTTTTGTGTGTGGTGTAAGGAAATGGTCCAGTTTCATTCTTCTGCATGTAGCTATCCAATTTTCCCAACACCATTTGTTGAAGAGATTGTCTTTTTTCCATTGGACATTCTTTCCTGCTTTGTCAAAGATGAGTTGACCATAGAGTTGAGGGTCCATTTCTGGGCTCTCTATTCTGTTCCATTGATCTATGTGTCTGTTTTTGTGCCAGTACCATGCTGTCTTGATGATGACAGCTTTGTAATAGAGCCGGAAGTCCGGAATTGTGATGCCACCAGCTTTTCTTTTTCAACATTCCTCTGCCTATGCGGGGTCTTTTCTGGTTCCATATGAATTTTAGGATTATTTGTTCCATTTCTTTGAAAAAAGTGGATGGTACTTTGATGGGGATTGCATTGAATGTGTAGATTGCTCTAGGTAGCATTGACATCTTCACAATATTTGTTCTTCCAATCCATGAGCATGGAATGTTTTTCCATTTCTTTGTGTCTTCCTCAATTTCTTTCATGAGTATTTTATAGTTTTCTGATTACAGATCCTTTGTCTCTTTGGTTAGATTTATTCCTAGGTATCTTATGGTTTTGGGTGCAATTGTAAATGGGATGGACTCCTTAATTTCTCTTTCTTCTGTCTTGTTGTTGGTGTATAAGAATGCCGCTGACTTCTGTGCATTGATTTTATATCCTGCCACTTTTCTGAATTCCTGTATGAGTTCTAGCAGTTTTGGGGTGGAGTCTTTCGGGTTTTCCACATAAAGTATCATATCATCTTCAAAGAGTGAAAGTTTGACTTCTTCTTTGCCGACTTGGATGCCTTTTATTTCTGCAGTTTTTAAATTTTTTTACAAGATTTTACTTACTCATTTGAGAGACATAAAGAGGTAGTGAGAGAGAGCACAAGCAGGGAGGAGAGGGAGAGGCAGGGTCCCCGTGAGCAGGGAGCCCGAGGTACTACTCCTATCCGAGGACCCTGGGATCATGACCTGAACCGAAGGCAGATGCTTAACCAACTGAGCCACTCAGGCAATCCTGCAGTTTTTTTTTTTTTTTGTTCTTTTAAATAAATACAATGCTATCCAGAAAATCTGCTTCAAGGTATTTACTCAAGAAAAACTAAAGCATATGTTCACAGACTTTTACGCCAATGTAATTAGAAGCTTTATTTATAATAACTCCAAACTGGAAACAGCCCAAATATTCAACATTAGTTGATCTGATAAACAAATTATTGTATATCTTTCAAATCAATACTTCTCAACAGTAAAAAGAAACAAGCTAAGGGTATACATATCATCATGTTTAAATCTCAAAAAATTATGCTGAGGGGAAGAAGAGAAAGATAGAAGACAGCATACTGATTCTATTTACATGAAATTTTTGAGAGGCTAAAGTGATGTATAGTGACAGAATGCTAACCAGGGGTTGTTGGGGATGAGAGTGGAAAGATTTGACTGCAGCTATTCTGTGTCTTGGGGTGCCAGGCTGGCTCAGTCAGTAGAGCAGGTGACTTCTGATTTCAGTGTTGTGAGTTCAAGCCCCAGGTTGGGCACAGAGCTTATTTAAAAAAATGCAAATATTCTGTATCTTGATTATGGTGAGTGTCACATTAGGATGCCATTTTTCAAAACTCAGTTAATTCTACCCTTAAATTATATACATTGTATTGTACAGAAATTATACCTCAATGAAGTTGATCTTTTAAATCTGTGTTTTTTCTGATTATAAAAGTATTACAATTTCCTCTACGAAGTATGAGAAACAAAAAAGTACAAATTAAAAAGACAAACTATTACTTTACATCCAGAGAAAATGTCAAAGATAGGATATATTTTCTTCCTTTATTTGTCCTGCATAAGTATGTTAAAGATACATGTATGTTAAAAAATTATGCTGCATTATTGGATGTTTAGTGGTATATAGTATTTTGGTGGAATAAGTAATATCAGAATGAACTTTACGTATATAATGTTTGACTTGGTTTCCAATAATTTCCAGAGACATATTACTGGTCAAAGGGTACAAATATTTTTAATGTTTTTGCTATAAGTTGTAAAAGTTCTCTCTAGAATGGTTATATACTTTTACTAACCATGTGTGAGGTATAACTTTGACCTTTGCCATGTCCTAACCATCATTACTAACATTGAATTACTCTTTGCTAATTTGAACAAGATCATTTTAATTTGTATTTTTGTCATAATTAGATTAAATATTTTCTTGAAATACATCCATAGTTACTTGTAGTTCTGTAAATTCTGTTCAAGTTCACTGTCCTTTTCTTTTTCTGTTAGGGCTTTAATATTTTTAATAGACATTTACAGACTCTTTCATCTCTTTTTTTTTTTTTAATTTTTTTTTTTTTTAAGATTTTATTTATTTATTTGAGACAGAGAGAACGAGAGACAGAGAGCATGAGAGGGGGGAGGGTCAGAGGGAGAAGCAGACTCCCCGCCGAGCAGGGAGTCCGATGCGGGACTCGATCCTGGGACTCCAGGATCATGACCTGAGCCGAAGGCAGTCGCTTAACCAACTGAGCCACCCAGGCGCCCCTGGACTCTTTCATCTCTTAAGGACATCATCTTCTGTGGATCATATTTGTTGTAAATATTTTTCTCAAAATTTTTTCTGATTTTTTTTAAAGTTTTATTTAAATTCTAGTTAGTTAACATACAGTGCAATATTGGTTTCAGGAGTAGAATTCAGTGATTCATGACTTACATACAGCACCCAGAACTCATCATAACAAGTGCGCTCCTTAATATCCATCCCCCATCTGGCCCATCCCCAACCACCTCCCTCCATCAACCCTCAGTTTGTTCTCTATTAAGAGTCTCTTATGGCTTGTTTTTTTTTTTTTCTCTCTCTCTCTCCTTTTTCTTTTATTCCCCCTTCCCATATGTTTATCTGTTCTGTTTCTGATATTTTGAATGTTCAGACATTTTTGTGTGTGTGTGGTCACATTTTTCAATCTTTCCATTTGAATTCTGCTTTTCAAGGTATAAGCCACCAAATCACAGAGGAGTCAGAAATGTGCTTATATTAAGTACAAGGCAGCAGGATAGTTCCAAATACGATGCTACTAAAAAAGAAATAGACTGAGCTCTAGTAGGAAAGAAAATATAGAGAAACTTATCCACCTCAGGCTTGCAATGACAAGTATTTAGCCATATTTTAATAAGAAATATGTGAAAGTTGAATACAAGTGAAATAGGGAAAAGAGAGAGCATTAGGTAGTGTTTTGGCATATACTACTCCTTATAGACAAGAAGTATAGATAGAAGTAAGAGGTGAAAGTTGGCTGATGCGTGTTTAAGAATCTGATGCTTGAAAACTCATGCGAATGGGTCCTAGTGAGCTATTATTGCCTATAGATATAGACCTCATAATGGGAAGGATATCAGGACTTTGCTAACATCACTCCTGCCAAGGCATTGGTATAAGAATAACAAAAAATCTGAATTTGGGAGATGACTGGGCAAACTATTACATAAGTTTCGAGTAAGCAGGCCATGATGCAAGAGTGTAAGAGTTTGAGATGATGTGAATGATGCCCTGTACATCAGAGTGAATGAAGACCAGAGAGCTTTCTAGTCTGTGTATGAGCACCGCCTGCTGGCCGTGATTGGGCGATTGGATGCTGGAACTGTTTTCTGCAGAAGCATTGGTCCAAAAGACAAAATATCGTCTTGAAAGTAGTTGGACTTACTGGAAATGACAGTGCTGACTCACTAAGGAAGGAGATTTTTGTTTTCAAAGCTTCTTGGAATGTGAGATTTTAAGAATTTTTCTATGTGGAGCCAGTGTGGAGAAAAGTTCCTCTTGTGTACTGTTGGCAGAAGTGGAGGTGGGTTTAATTTTTAGAAAATGCTTTTTGTCAATATGTATACAAAATTAAATTGACTCTCAAATTCTACTTTTAGGAATTTATCCTAAATAAGTGGTCAGGAAAATTAGCAAAGATCTATGGCAAGGATCCTCTTCAGAGCATTCCTCTAGATGTGGAAAAAAAAAAAAAAAGAACCAAACTGAACTCCACCACAAAGAGATCATTTATGTAAACGGAGGCACAACAATCTAAAGGCATAATATGCACCCACAAAAGGGATGTATGTGTTTGGATATGTATTAATGTGGAAAAGTTATCAATAATATGCTGTTAGGTGAAACATGCAGGTCATTAACAGCCTCTAGCCTGTCTTTGGCTCTGGAGTAAATCTGCTTCATTTCGGATTCTGGCTTCACCACTTGTTAGCGTGTGACTTTGGACATGCTGACTAACTTGTCCTCAGAATCTCTTCATCTCTAAATTGGGAATGCTAACAGTACCTACTTTATAGTGTGGCTTTTAAAATTAAAAAGGAATTCAAACAAAGTGCTGAAGCACATATTACCTAAAATAAAGTCAACATTCTGACTGTGGTTTATATTCATCTCTATGTCCACATTGATATTTCTAACTGTAGACAACTAGAAGTCCGGAAAGATATACCAACATAATGGTCAAGTTTATCTTATAGTGTGGGAATTAAAGGTATTTTTTCAATTTTCTTTATATCATTTTATACTTTTTGATTTTTACTTTGATTATGCATTACATATAAAACTTAAAATAAAAAGAAAAGTAACCTTCTAAAAATAAACAGAAGCATACTCTTAAATACAGAGAACAAACTGGTGGTTGCCAGAGGGATGGGCAAAATGGGTGAAGGGGAGTGGGAGGAACAGGCTTCCAGTTATGGAATGCGTAAGTCATGGGAATAAAAGGTACAGTATGGGGACTATGGTCCACGGTATTGTGATATTGCATGGTGACAGATGGTAGCTACACTTGTAGTGAACATAACACACTGTATAGATTTGTTGAGTCACTATGTTGTACACTTGAAACTAACGTAATATCATGGGTCAATTATACCTCAATTAAATAAAAAGGAAATTAATCTTCTTACTGCAAGAACAGTTGGGCATTATCAACATACTTTTTGAACTGCAAATGAATCAAACTTGTAGTCTCCTATTGTATTTAGAGCATCATGATAGATTTGGCCAGGGGCCTTAGTATTTACCGAAAATTCCAAATGAAGGCATTAATCCTGAATACCTAGACCTAAATCCTCTTTTTCTAGAATGAAGGGTCCAGCAAATCATATCTGGGGAATGAAACAAACATTTGTGTCCTAGAGGCAGAGAGGACCCCTCCCAAGATCAAGGAAAACAGGCCAACACCCCGGCATGTAATAGTAAAACTTGCAAATCTTAGAACCAAGGAAACCATCTTAAGGGCACTTAGGTGGAAGAGATTCCTTACATACAGAGGGAGGAACATCAGAATAACGTCAGACCTATCCATAAAAGTTGAGCCACAAGTTAAATTCTCCAGAGGAATGTTTTCCTTATAATCTCCATGAGTTAAGCAAGAATGTGACATGAATTGTTGATGTGCATATGATTATAACAGTGAGGCTGCAATCTGGTTTAATGCTACAGAATGTTGTTCTTCTATTATATGTCACCCACGGAGAGGAAGAAATAAAGGCAGAGAAGGAGAGAGGCCACCTATGATCATTTTGGACATGCTGTTTAATGCTTTGATTTCATTCTCAATGGATTCTCATTTAAAGTTTGGTCAGTGTGTGTTGAAATAAGAAATTATCTTAATGTGAAATTTCCAAGGTTTCATTCATCATGTTAAAGGGTTATATTTTACACTATTCAATTAACAAGTCTTACTGTCTGCATATTGCTCCACACTCAAACTAGGGAGCAAGAGGGAATTTCTTTCAAGATTACTTTTTCTAAAAAGGCTCTGTTTTTACAACCAGAACAATCAATTCATGAAAATATTGGCCACTTTATGGATAAGTATCACAACTAGGTGTACATGATTATTAAAGTTCATGGTGGAATATGCCCACTGACCATGTACAAAAATTTGTTTTGCTTCAGATCGAGAAAATTATTCTGACTCTCCAGGTTAGGTGGTAAGATGAGTATATCACAGTCATTTAAGAGTCTTTTTCCCCAAATCCCTTTGAAATAATTAATATAAATTTGCATGTCCTTTGGAAACTAGAGAAGGGCACTACTGACATTCTGTAACATCTGAGGAATTTATGGGAGAGGTGGTGAGGTGGACCCACATTGATGAGAGCTATAGAGAATGACCCACGCCATTCCTTTGGCATAACAGCAGTGTTCCTGGTCACGTGTGGAGGAGATCCTGAGAGACCCCAGCAAGCATCCAAACACTCAGAAATGCAAATATTGGAGACAAGCATGATCTCTTTGGCAACATTTGCACCCCTCCAGTTAAGCTCCATTATAAGATGTCAAATGGACATCAACTAACATGTCAACTCCAGTTGATTTATACTGACTGCCTGGTTGTGTTGAAAAGAATTTAATGCTGTGACATGGCTGAGTGGTAGGTTGTCAGATAAAATACAGGATGAACAATTAAATTTGAATTTCAGATAAACAATGAATAGTTTTTTATTGAAGTATATACCATCTGTCATTATACAGCACTATTATAATACCATTGACTATATTTCCTATGCTGTACCTTATCCTGTGATTCATTCATTCTAACCCGTACCTCCCATCCCCCTTCACCAATTTGCTCACCTCTCCACCCCACCTTCAGTTGGCAACCATCAAAATTATTTTCTGTATTTATGGGTCTGTTTCTACTTTTTTGTTTATTCATTTGTTTTGTTTTTTAGATTCCACATATAAGTGAAATCATATGGTTTTTGTCTTTCTCTTTCTGACTTATTTCTCTTAGCATAATACCCTCTAGGTCCATCCATGTTGGCAAGATTTCCTCCTTTTTATGGCTGAGTAATAATCCATTGTGTGTGTGTGTGTGTGTATCACATCTTTATCCGTTCATCTCTTTTTTTTTTTTTAAAGATTTTATTTATTTGACAGAGAGAGACATAGCGAGAGAAGGAACACAAGCAGGGGGAGTGGGAGAGGGAGAAGCAGGCTTCCCGCTGAGCAGGGAGCCCGATGTGGGGCTCGATCCCAGGAACCTGAGATCATGACCTGAGCCGAAGGCAGACGCTTCGCAACTGAGCCACCCAGGCGCCCCTATCCGTTCATCTCTTGATGGACACTTGGGTTCCTTCCATATCTTATCTATTGTAAATAAGGTTGCAGTAAACATAAGGGTGCACACATCTTTTGGAATTAGTGTTTTCATTTTCCTTGGGTGAATACCCAGTAGCACAATTACTGGATTGTAAGGTAGTTCTATTTTTAACTTTTTGAGAAAACTTCATACCGTTTTCCATGGCAGATGCACCAATTTACATTCCCACCAACAGTGTACGAGGATTCCTTTTTTCTCTGCATCCTGGACAACAATTATTATTTCTTGTCTTTTTGATTCTAGCCATTCTGACAGATAGAATGTGATACTTCATTGTGATATTGATTTGCAGTAACAAAAAATAATTTTTAGTATAACAGGTCCCAAATATTACATAGGACATACTAATACTACAAATTATATGTTGTTTATTCAGACTTAACTGGCATTTTTTATTTTTGGTTGCCAACTCTGGCAAATGTATATAGCAGCAAAGAACCATTGTTTCTGACCATTGTTTTGGTCTACCATGATGACTGAAAAGAGAAATGGCAACTAAGCAGTCCTAAGGAGATACAGGGTTTTCTGCAGTGCAGTATCCACCCTCGCATATGGGAATTACATGGACAAAATTGACAGCTGGAACTATTTGTAATGCTAACTGCCCTCCCCCCTTACCCAGCACTCAGGACAGCTCAACCAACAATACAAGTTCATCTCAAGAATAATACTTAATCTTTGCACTTACCTGGACCTGAAGAATAGTAACAAAGACACAAATAAATCTCTCACAAACCCATCTTAACTTTGACTTGACTATAAGTCAATCTGGGCAGTAACAGCTTGCTTGTGGAAGATTGAGTAAGTCGTAGGTCCTAAAAAAGAAAATATTTCTTTTAGGTGAAGCCATATAAAGTTGCCATTTTATAAATAAAGAGGCTGGAATACCAGCGATTTTATATGTTTAAACCTGATATAAGGACCTGCTCTGGAGAATCAAAGCAAATGCTTCCCTCTGAAATAGATTTGCCTCAAGAAACAGTAGGAAAAGAAAATTCAATGATTCTGACTGTGTTATTAAAGTGCCTTAAACGAATTTGCATATATGAATCCAAAATAGGTAGTCATGAAGTTCTAAAATCAGAGCGGTAGAAAGAAGAGATGAAAAACACAAGTGTCTAATGAAAGCCATGATGTATACAATGAATAGTAGATTGGATACTGAAAATATAAAATTTCTGAAGTAGAAGAGAAACTCAAGAATTTTTCCTGAAATTGAGGCAGGAAGTCTAGAGATAAAAATGAGAAAGAGAGAGAGAAGAAGGAAAGGTGAGGAATGCAGAACATAATTAGGGCTCACATTTATGTAGAATGGACTTTCAGAGAAATAGTGCTGTTGATGAGCCCAGAGCAATAATTAAGAAAGAAGAAAATTGTCCTGAACACTGCAGCCTACAAATGAGAAGGGCTCATCGTGTACTGATGAGTAAAGACTCCCTGCAGATATTTTATGCACAAAGGTGATGGGAGATGAGCTTGGGTCTCTGTCAGCTAGTCCAGTGAACTGAATGAGAAACCAAAATGGAGAACCGGAAAATGTATAGGTTATGGGAAACAAGAAATGTGCATGACCATGGAAACTAATTAATAGAGATACTTCTAGCATAAATGTGCACATACAGCATAATAAAATTATCAGAAGTTTTTTTTTTTAAAGATGTTATTTATTTATTTGAGAGAGAGAGAGAGCACAAGCTGGGGGGTGGAGGGTGGAGGAGCAGAGGCAGAGGGACAAGCAGACTCCCTGCTAAGTGTGGAGCCTCAGTGGGGCTCGATCCCAGGACCCTGAGATCATGACCTGAGCTGAAGGCAGACGCTTAACCAGCTGAGCCACCCAAGGCACCCCCAGAAGTTCTTGGCAGGAAAACCATATAATATTAAAACATTCATCATGAAATAACTAATTGAATAGTAATGACATAATAAAATGTGATCACTAATAAAACATAAACAGGCTATATACAAAAATAAAGTAAAAAAACCCCTACAAAAATAAAGTACAAGAAGAAAAGAGAGCGAGAATAGTCCATTTGGTAATAAACCAAACAGAAATAATCGTGGGGGTGGGTGGGAACATGTTATAAAGTAAATGGTTTTAACCGCCACAGTAGGTCTCTCAAATTAGAGGCGACAAAATGCAGAATCCAATTGTGGAGCTCCTAAGCTATAGGCCTTAAGTAAAGGGACATGGCCAAGTCAAAAATAAAAGTAACAGACAACAACTTTTAGGTAAACACAATCAAAAGAAATATATGTATGTAGAGATACACATATTGAGAAAGATACATACCAAGTACTAATAGTGGTTATCTCAAGGTGTAGATTAATGTGAGCTTTTTTCCCCAATGTTTTCTTCTTTCTACTTACCGATATTTGCTATTTTTTTCCCCACCGTGGTATGTTTTGCTTTTGTCACTCAGAAAATTATGGTTACTTTTACCTAAAATAATGAGTTCAAATGGTAAGAATAAACCAGGCACAAAATTGCTACATTCATAAGGTGTTATTCTTTTTAATATAGAAATAGGGCTTTGAAATCAATCAGAAAAAAGGCAAATGACTCCTCAGAAATTTGGACAAAGGACATGTGTAGTTTAAAGAAGAAATGCAAATGTTCAGTGACTCTGTATGTTATGATTCTGGTTTTCAAACACACACATATGCATAGTTAAAAGCCTTGAAAGGAATATTTCAACATGCTCACAATACTTTTTATTGCCCTCTTTGTATCTGTCTGCGTTCTCTGGAAATGAGCACATGTTGTGAGTGTTAAATAAAATAAAATAAATAAAAAAATAGAAGAATGAGAAAGAAAATGATCTCTCTTAAAAGAGAAGAAAAACAATAAATAGGGGCCACACGTCCTAAAATTGAGAGTTAAGTTTGCGGAATTCGAAAGAACATGTTCAAAGCTAAAGGAAAGATTAGATCTAGGATCATTCCCATCCCCTCGGAATGTTCGTTTGCCTTTCCCGTCTCAGCCAAACAGGAACCTGGCCCAGTCTACTGGTGGTACAATCACAGTAGGAGGACTGGAATTAGAAGCCAGATGTGCCAACTCTCAAACTTGAGCAGAATATATCAGCTCATGTTATCTGGAACAATCTCTAGGGAAGCACACTTTTAATTTTTGGTTGCCAGCCGACCCTTTCCTGAGAGGCACTATTCTTGGAGCTTTAAAGTGGTCATCTGTTTTGTGTCTGTCTTTGAAGACAAAGCCAGAGGGCTGACTCAAGTTCCCATGATCCACACACCAGGGAGAACACAGTAGCCATTGAAAGAGATCTTGTCCCTATCAAACAGTTGCTCTTGGGGGCTGTCTTTTAGGAGTGAAAGACCCTGAGTACTTCTCTGTGTGTATGTGCGGCTTGCCTTTCTGCGAAGGAAGTGGCATTCTGTCTCGAAACCCACTACCAGGAAGTCCAAGGTCAGATTAAGACATTTTTCTATTTTTATAAATACCTAATTGATGGCCTCAAATCTAGAGCTATGTATCTGTCTCTCCCCAAAAGATTTACCAGCACAGATGGCAAATAAACCAAAGATAGATGTAATCTTGATTCCAAAGAAAGGAGTGTGATTTCTCGAGCTACTTCCACCTCTGATGTAGGCATCACCAGAACCAATTCTGCATTCCTCACAAACTCCTACAGATCCTTCAGGTGGAGGAGGGATGTGAGCAAAAATCATGCACAGATTCTTTAATAAAACATAGACACGTTTTTCTATTTCTGTGTAAAATCTGAATATACAACAAGGATACTTATTTGTGATCAAATGCTGACACTCTACCCTAGGCAATTCTCAACTTGCGTTCAGAAGTCCAGAAGGACACCACACCAGAACAGGAGACCAGCAGTCAGCTAGTGGGCAGGGTGGGGCTCAGCTACAGGAATGGAATTCCAGGCTTCAGAGAGAGCTTTTGAGCATTTCTACGAAGCAAGTAATAGAGCAAAAATAGAAATGAGTCACTTACCTTTATGTGGCATATTACAATTTATAAAGTGTTTCACATTTGTCTTCTTTCAGCTTCACAATTTCTCATGAAAAAAGCTGAACTGGGAGCCATCATTTCTAATTCGCAGATCTGGATTTACTCAGAGAGGTTAAGTGACTTGCCCAAGGTCACACAGGTAGTAAATGTTGGAATTCCAATTTATTTCTACTACATAAGAGTTATTCTCTTGCTAATTTCTGGTATCTCTCTAGCTGGATTGTACTGAAATAATTATACATTAGAACTTCATTCCTTTGGCTGGAGCCTGTGCTACTTAAATTTTTCTACAGATGCCTGTCTGAAGGCAGGGGGACATGAGATCAGATAACAGGGAAATGAATGGCTTTTGTTCAAATAGCCTATCACAATAATAATATTTCCTTGCAGTCTTGTGTTTTGTCTTTGCAATTCTTGGTACTTTGCAATCCGAATTTGTATAGCCATGTTTGTTTTCATATAAAATGTTTAAAATGCTGTACCATTAATAGTTACATTCGAGAAGATGGACCATCAGATGTTTCCTGAGATTTTGCATATGCTGGCCGACCAAATAGACTGCCAGGATTAAAGCTACCCTGATGTGAGAAGCCCAGGCATTGTTTCTTGTTAAAATTCAGTTACTATTTTTGATACTTTTTGATACATTTTGATAAAAGGAGGAGATGGTAAGTGATTGCAGTAGTTTGTTTCTAAGACAGGTTTTGAGGGGTTAAATCAGGTGGGTGAAACTGACACAGTTTGCTCTGGAGGACAGGAGGGAAGGTGAGAGATAGGGTTTGGGGAAGGTTAAGAGAACAGATTGGGTCAGCTGGAGGCATGGAAACAAATGTTGCCTTTTTACAATTTTATCTAAAGCCAACCCTGTTTATGTTTCTGTTAAGCATGACTCAAGAGAAAGGCATTTAAATACTGTGATTAATGTGAAAATGAGTTTACTGATAAGTTTAAGAAAAATGAAAAAAATGAAATCACGTCCTCAAGCACTTAAAAGAAATTCTAATTCAGGATAGGTAGAAACAGTGTGCTGTATTATCTGTAGCAACCGGTGTGAGAGACAAGGCATATATATATATTTCATTTACACTGTAAATGTTCTCTTGACTTAGACTGGTCATGGAAACATATTTGAAATAATCATGGCAGCAAAAACAAAGAATCAGACTAGACTTCTACCATGTAAAGGCTATTTTAAAAATTACAATCTCAGTATCACTCAGAAACCTACAGGAAATTTTACTGCAGTTAATTTTTGGGTTTTATTTTTCTTGTTGGCACTATACTACAGGATTAGAATATGATAACATTATTTTATAATTACATATGGCTTTTCATAATTGGCTTTTAAAAGTACTAAAAATATTATCCTTTTGGAAGGTGAACATAACTCATCTATTTTTCCCCCCTGGCAACAGTGATCTGGGGCAAGAATAATGCCACGGTTGTAACAAAACGTTGTTCCGTTGCTCTGCAGAAATCACCTCTCCTCTTTTTTTTTTTTTTAAAGATTTTATTTATTTATTTGACAGAGAGAGAGACAGCAAGAGAGGGAACACAAGTAGGGGGAGAGGGAGAGGGAGAAGTAGGCTTCCCGCCGAGCAGGGAGCCTGATGCAGGGCTCGATCCCAGGACCCTGGGATCATGACCTGAGCCGAAGGCAGATGCTTAACAACTGAGCCACCAGGCGCCCCTCACCTCTCCTCTTTAACTGCTCCCATTGACCTGGGAGTCCCCAGGACAGTGACAGCCCCTTAAATGGAATTCTGAGGAACCATCTCACGATGTGTCTGGTTCATGAGGTGTGAGACAGAACACAGTTGTTCCCCACCTGGCACCCTCTGGTTCCCTCATTGCCTGCTAGTTTCCTACCAATGACAACAATGGCACCCATGTCACAGATGCCAGTCAAGGTCCCCCTGGGCTATTGCTGTCTTCCGAAGGTGTCCCCCTAAACCTGAAGTTGCCATTTCCCAAGAGTGCTGAATGCCTGACACCAGAGGCCACGCATGGCCATAGCTGGTCCTTGCTGTCTTGTTTCTGCACCATCTCTGGTTCCAATCCTGCTGATAACTAGTCCCTTCTGTTTTTTTCTTTTTTAAAAAAATTTTCTTTTCTTCTTCTTATTAGTTTTAGAGAGAGAGCGAGAGAGCCCTTGTGTGTATGAGCAGTGGGGGAAGGGGAGAGGGAGAGAGAGAATCTCAAGCAGACTCCCCAGTCAGCATGCCGCTCACTGGGGGGCTCGATCTCACGACCCTGAGACCATGACTTGAGCTGAAATCAAGAGTCGGACGCTTAACTGACTGAGCCACCCAGGTGCCCCATGATCAATTAATTTAAAAATAGCTTTAATTCAAACCCAAGTTGTAACTTTTCATTCACTACTGATTGACTGAATTAAATGTATATTGTTAATTTACAGGTGTGTGTTTGTATGTGCACACATTTAAAAAAAATTTCCTTAAGAGACTCTTAATCATAGGAAACAAACTGAGGGTTGCTGGAGGGGGGTGGAGGGATGGGGTAACTGGGGGATGGGCATTAAGGAGGGCACGTGATGTGATGAGCACTGGGTGTTATATAAGACTGATGAATCACTGACCTCTATCTCTGAAACCAATAATACATTATATGTTAATTAATTGAATTTAAATTAAAAAAAATTCCAAATCCTTTCATGAGTTGATTTAATCAAATCCGTCTCCAGTGAACTCATGCAGCTAACAAATCCCTGTTATGGTCACAATGGCAATAATTGCAGAGACTGTCTTATGTAGCGTGCTTAATAGTGATCATTCTATGTTTATGCTACAGATTCATGCCACATTTTCTTTTTTTTTTTTTAAAGATTTTATTTATTTATTTGACAGAAAGAGACACAGTGAGAGAGGAACACAAGCAGGGGGAGTGGAAGAGGGAGAAGCAGGCTTCCCGCCGAGCAGGGAGCCCGATGTGGGGCTCGATCCCAGGACGCGGGGATCATGACCTGAGCCGAAGGCAGGCGTTTAACGACTGAGCCACCCAGGTGCCCCCATGCCACATTTTCTTTTAAAGACTTTATTTATTTGAAAGAGAGCGTGCACGAGCAGGGGGCAGGCTCCCCACTGAGCAGGGAGCCTGAAGTGGGGCTTGATCCCATGGGATCATGGGATCATGACCTGAGCTGAAGGCAGCTGCTTAACCAACTGAGCCATCCAGGTGCCCCTCATACCCCATTTTCCAAAGTCCATTCAACAATCACTTGGCAAGAGCCAGCTAGGTTCCAGGCTGGGTTGTCGGACACCTTGAGCGAGTTACCATACGCAGTGCAGAATCTGTGCCGCTTGGACACCTGCAGTTCAAGCAGAATCCCCCCAAATTCCGTAGATTGTTTGCCATTGTCAGGATGCAGGAGGCCAGCTCAGCCTCAAATTATTTCTCAGATCATTTGCCTTGAGTAGTTAAAAGGTTAACATTTCCTTACATCGAATTTGGAAAGCATCTTTTCCTTTGATTTCCTCGGGTGTGAAATAGTTTACTACTAGTCTCTGTCTTCTAGTCTCCCTGCTGTGGTTCTGAGCTCAGGCAGATATTTGTAAAGCACTTTGTTCTCAGGAGAAAGGTCACATTTAGAAAGGTAAGTATAATCCACATGACTGCATTGGGGACAAATATTGTCACTGGCCAAGCCCCTGCCTTCACCTTCCATGCACCCACAGCATACGTAATAAAGAGAAACTCACTTTTCAAGCTCAAGTACAAAAGAATAAAGCAACTGTTGTGCCTGAGGGCTTCTTGGAAGGTGTGTGAAATAAAGCAGAAAGCAGTGATTAGTCTTCCACATTGTTTGAAAAGTCATCAGACCACAATATTCATGAGAGTCTGCAAATTGGCATTGGCCTTATGCAGGCTTACAAATTATGCTCATGATTTTCTGTATGCTGCCTTTGTAAATGTTTTTCCTTTTCCTGCTCTCGTGAACTGGAGATGAAAAGAATCAATAAGACAACTGTTTGATCTTTGGATTTTAATGAACGGCAATCACAAGGTCATCATATTGCTAAATCATTAATTGCTTTTGAGAATTCAACAAATTTGTATTATAAACTGTATTTTGATTATCATTAGTTGAATAGGTTTCTGAGACACCGAGAGAAATAAGACAGTGAATGATTTTATGAAGTAGATGTCAACTGAATAATTTAACGACTTCAATTATCTTAATAGCCAACCAATATTAACTGCAGCGTGATAAATGGTTTTTCAACTTATTATAACTTTAAACCGATGCACAATGACTCGCATTGTGTTTGGCACATAGAATGTGTTCAACAAATGCTAACTCTTCAGGGTTTTTTTTTGTTTTATTTAAATTACAGCTAGTTAACATACAGTGTAATATTAGTTTCAGGTGTGCAATACAGCGATTCATCACTTCCCTACATTACCCCGTGCTCATCACAAGTGCCCTCCTGAATCTCCTTCACCTGTTTCACCCATCCCTCTACCCTCTTCCCTCTGGTAACCATCTCTTTCTTCTCTATAGTTAAGAATCTGTTTCTTGGTTTGCCTCTCTCTTTTTTTCCCCCATGATCATTTGTTTTGTCTCTTAAATTCCACCTATGAGTGAAATTATATGGTATTTGTCTTTCTCTGACTGACTTATTTCACTTAGCATAAATCTCTAGCTCCACCCATGTTGTTGCAAATGGCAAGATTTCATTCGTTTTCATGGCTGAGTAATATTCCTCTGTGTGTGTGTGTGTGTGTGTCTTTATCCATTCATCAATTGATGGACATTTGGGCTCTTTCCATAATTTGATAATGCTGTTGATAATGCTGCTATAAAGGTCAAGGTGCATGTATCCTTTTGAATTAGACTTTTGTAGTCTTTTTTTTTTTTTTCTAAAAAACTGGTACCATGAGCTCCCTGAGTGGCCTTTATTTTTTTGTTTACCATTTTACCCCCAGTATTGATACCAGCACGGTTTCTGACAGGTAGGTGGTGCATATTTGCAGACTGAGTGAGCCTATCACAGAGAGCTAAATAGGCATTCGAATTTTTTCTTAGCACAGCTTACAGTGAAGATCTAATACATAAGGTAAAACACAAGAAACCAAAATATATTAAATTTCTTTTAGTTCTGAGCCATCTGGGTTGTTTTGTTTTGGTTTTTTTTTTGGCCCATTATTTATATCTACGGTTGCTGTTGATATTTCTTCTCATCTTAATGTTAATGATATAAAGCTAAATTCTCTTTAAAATGAACACCAACAAAGGCATATTTTTAACAACTTTATTGAGGTATAATTTATATTCCATGCTTCACCCATTTATAGTATAACTAACTCAATGGCTTCGAGTGTATTTAGGGCATTATGTAATGCCATCATCACAATAAATTGTAATACACTGTCATCACTGCAAAAAGAAATCCCACACTTCTTAACCTGT